AAAGCACAAAAAAGATATTTTCTCATGCTTTTTGCATATAACATGCATATTTACGAATGGAATTTTGGATATACCCAGGTACTTTTTGTGGGATCTGTGCCCCGCATAAACTGTCTTCCAATCATTTGAATGAAATAAAGTAAATAAAGGTGTCTCATTGTTGTATTTGTTTAAAACAAAATTTGTTTTAAATTTTACTACCTTATACACTTGTAATTCTTATAATCAAATCTCAATTGGTAACAGTAAAGCTGCATAGGGTCTTCTCGTCTATCTAGAGGTAAACAGTATCTGCACTGCTATTCCAATTTCACTGAGCCAATCATCGAGACAGCTGTTGTATCGTTACGTCATTCATGCAAGACCGCATTTAACGGCCAGGGTATTCCGCTACCTTAGGACCCTCATCGGTAAGGCCGCCGTTTGTCGGGGATTTCTTCAAAGCCTAATTTTTATTTAAGCAAATCTGTTACCCTTCCGACACTGGGCAGACTTCACACTCTATATTTAGATATCTATCTTTGCAGAGTGCTGTGTTTTAAATAAACAGTCGTACAACACAATTCTATGCCTCCTATACATCTTGGTTATACACATAATGATCCTAAGACGTATGGCTCACCTTATCCCGAAGTTACGTGAGTAAATTTGCCGAGTTCCTTAATGATTGATTACTCAAACGCCTTCGTATTTTCTACTTGCTTACTTGTGTTAGTATTTAGGTACGGTATATTTAAAGTCTGCATCTAAAATTTTCCTGAACTAATTTAATTTTAATTAGTCTTTTCTAGCACGTGAAATGACCTTCTATTGTTCATCGTGTGCTATTACATATACTGTATAAAAATGTAATAAAAATGAAAATATATTTCACGAAAGCAAGTTCATTTTTATTACATCAGTAATAAGTAATAGCTGTTACTTAGAAGCCGTAAATTTAATTAAATACCATAAGCTTAAGGCGGATGTATTACATCTTATCGCTACTCATGTCAGCATTATCACTTGGATTACTCCTTTTTAATTCTTATAAAGAACAAAGCTTGATATATATCCAATGTTCCGCTACCCCATATATTTTTTGTTTAATTTAAACAATATATGGACAAGGTTTCGGTATATTATTTAGATCCGTTATATTTTCGGTGTGTACTTCTACTCTTTTATAAAAAAGAATACAAATCAACGCTCTGTTACGAGATCATTAAAAAGTGGCTGCATCTAGGCCCATTAAATGATTGTATTAAAAGACACATCCTTAATTTCACTCAACAATAATTTTGGAACCTTATTAACTCTTGTTCTGGGCTGTTTCCCTTTAGACATACAACCTTTCGTACTATGTCCGATTATTTAATATTCATTTTAACCCTTCCGAGTGCAAATACTCTCCGATAAAATCTTTACGATCCCCCGATATATACAAAATTATCTTTTTTATTTTTGGATTAGAAAAATAAAACAAAAGAAAAATTTTGACCGAGATCACAGTTCTGTACCTGCTAAAATGTTACTTAAATTACCTACTAATATAGGTTTCGCGGAAAACCAGCTCAGCTAGTCAGTTTTGTCTTTCACTTACTTACCACCATTCTTCGGATGTCTATACAACGACAACCCGTTCGGACTTTTATTATCCTGATAATGGTAAGATCACTAGCCTCCGGGTCTAATTCTAGATACTTTATCATTTTTTCATAATCGATTTCTCTAAGAGTTTATATTCTTGCATCTAAAATTAACTTGCTGACCCATTATGCAAAAGGTACGCTCTTGTTTATTTTCTCGAGCTGCTTATAAAACTACTATTAAATTCTTTTCCTCACGGAACTTTACACTATTGCGTATTAACCATATTTAGCCTTAGAGGAAGGTTCCTCTTTATTCAAACAGATATTCCATTTTACTTGGCTGGGCTACTCTACTTTACTTCTCATTATATGTAGAATCTCGTTTGATTTTTTTTCCTAAGATTAATTAGATTTTTCTGTTCATCTTGTTTATTTACTAGATTTCTCTTAGCATATAGATATCTTTTTTTGGTTTATAGCAAATTATTCATAATAATTTCTTTTTACACTTTTTTGATAAATTTTTATTTTATCAATTTATAATTTTTATTATACTAGACTTAATATATCTTTTTTATTTTTAGGATCTTTAAGATTAATCATTTTTGGTAAAATAAAAATCACAAGCCTTTTCATTTAAATCTTTTATTTATATACCTTAAACATAAATATATTTATTTTTATATATTTTTTTTAATCAATAAATAATATATATATATATACATATTATTACTAATTATATAAAGAGTATAAATTAAGAACCTCAATAATAAACTGAAATATATAAGAATAATCATACAACATCTACAAAATGTCAGTATAATATACCAGATTCAAAACCTAAATGATGATTTTCAGTTAAGTGATATGCTAAAAGACGTCAGAATCCTACAGCTAAAAAAGCTGTACCTATTATAACATGTAAACCGTGGAATCCTGTTCCAAAATAAAAACATGATGAATAAGTACCGTCTGATATAGTAAATGATGAAACTGTATACTCTATTCCTTGGAAAGCTGTAAATATTACAGCTAAAACTATAGTATAAACTAAACCATTTAAAGCTCCACTTCTATTTCCTTGTATTAAAGAATGATGTGAATAAGTTACAGTAACACCTGAAGATAATAATATTATTGTATTTAATAAAGGTAATTCAAAAGGATTTATAGAATCTATTCCCATAGGTGGTCATTTAGCTCCCAGTTCTATTGTTGGAGATAAAGCACTATGGAAAAAAGCTCAAAATATAGCTAAGAAAAATAAGGCTTCAGAAACTATAAATAATCCTACACCCATGTTTAATCCTCTTTGTACAGCTAAAGTATGATTACCTAAGTAAGTACCTTCTGATATCACATCTCTAAATCATAATGACATTGATAAAATTAAACTTAATAATGCAAACATTAATATGTTTAATCCTATACTAAAACTTTGGAATGATAATATAGCACTTAATGTAACGGCTAATAAAGAAGTACTCGTATTTAGCGGTCAAGGACTAGGTGAGACTAAGTGGTAAGGATGGGCTTGAAAATTACTCCTTATAGAATTAGTAATAATATGTATATATATAAATATTTTTGATTGATTTTAATATAAAATGAAGGTTAGGCAAAGGAAATTAAAGATAATAAATTACATAAATTTAATAATTCATCAGGTATGAAAATAAAACTTACTATAGCTAAATTTAATATACTTAAAGTGATAGAGTAAATATTAGATAATGAAACTTCATTATATATATATGTTTTTTCATATTCAGATTTATCAAAATAAATTGTTTTTATAACAGTTAAATAATATACCGCACCGATAACACTTGTTAATACACCTATTAAAACTAATATAGTTTTATTATTATCTAAAGCTGTGGTTAATACCATTTGTTTTGCAAAAAATCCTACTAAAGGTGGTAAACCTACAAAAGAAAATAATGTTATTACTAAAAACAAGGCTAATATCGGATTTATAGAAAAATATCCTTTTAATTGACTAATTAATTGTATAGGGCTATTATTTTTTTCTGATAAATTATTATATTCTGAATTATTTGTATAATATAAATATAGACTAAAACCAATAGCTATCAAAATAAAGAATGCATTTAAATTAGTTAAAATATACTGTATAATATAAAAAATATAAGCTTGATAAGAATCTATATTGTGTACAACCAAAGCTAATAATATAAATCCTACGTGGCTTATAGTACTATAAGCTAATAATCTTTTTATTCTTGTTTGACTTATACCCAATACTGTACCTATAATTAATGAAAAAAAACAGCTTATAGATAAACTTGTGGTTCAGGAATAAAATTGTATACTTGAATGTAATAAACTACTAGTATATTGTACTAATTCTAATAACAATACTAAAATAGCTATTTTACCTAGTATTGCTATAAAAGTTGTAACTATTGTAGGTACACCATCGTATACATCAGGTGATCATCAATGAAAAGGTGCTGCAGCTATTTTAAATAGTAGTCCTACGGATATTAATAATAAACTGTAAAAAACATAACTGTGCATATATCATGTAGAATATTCAACATAATTTTGTGAATCAGATATTATTAAATATATACCATCTAAATTAGTTAATCCTGAATTTGCATATATTAAACCTATTCCTAACAATATAAAACAAGACGATAACCCTCCTAATAAAAAATAAGTTAAAGCGGATCCTGTAGATGATTCAGAGTTTCTATGTAAAGATGAAATTATATATAAACTAAAACTTTGTAATTCAATACATAAATAAATAGATCCTAAATCCCCACTTGACAATAATAATGTAGCACCACTTACAACAAATATAATAATTAATGCGTATTCTATTATTGTAAACTGTTCTGATATTTTATTTATAATATTTGTATATTGTTTTACTTTTTTTAATAAAGTATCTATTATAGATGTTGAGTCTCCTATATACTTTTTTCTGGGATAAAAACTTGTTAGTAATAATATTATACCACTAATTATTAATATAAAGATTTGAAATGTATGTGTTATAGCAGTTATATTAAATAAACCTCCGTATAATCCTATTCCTTTTTCTAAATATGTTAGAAAAAAAGTAATGTACGATGATAGTATACTATAGAATATTATTAGTATACCTATTCGGCTATATAAAATAGAGGTATCCGGTCTATTAGTTAAACCATTAGAAAATAGTAAAAGAACAAGAAAAGTTAATATCATTTGAAATTTTTTATCTAATTTTCACTTAATTTTTGTTCGCTATGATTTTTTTTTTTAATTTTGACAATTTTAACTACAATCTAAAGGTCTTAATAAATATTTTTCAAATAGATAAAAGATTTATAAGGTTAATAAGCCACTATTTGAGGATTTTTAGGTTAATTTTTCTTATTTTTTTTTTTTTAGTTTTTTCTAATTAAATATCAGAGGATATCAGATTCGAACTGATGTAATAACAATATTAAATAAGTTTCAAGCTTACCGCTATAAACCACTCAGCCAATCCTCTAAAGTACATAAAAATATAAATAAGAAAAATATTTATAGATCGATCGTTTATTTCTATATTTTTTAATTAAAGTCTACATTATATAATAAATGATAAGTAGAATAGTTAATACCATCTAATATAATAGAAGGATATATACCTAATAATACAGTAAATAAAACTAATACTGTAAGCATAAAGAACTCTCTTTTATTTAAATCAGGCATATATTCAGATCAAAATCTTTTAGGTTTTGATCCTGCAAAAGCAATTCTATTAAACATAAAAATAGTATAAGCGGCAGAAAAAACAATAGAAGATGAAGCAAGTATACCTGCGATAGGTAATCTTTCAAAAACACCATATAAAGACATAAATTCCCCTACAAAATTTAAAGTAAGAGGTGCTCCACAATTACCTAAAGATAATATAAAAAATAAAATAGAAAAAATAGGCATACTTTGAGCTATACCTCTATAATAGGTAATTAATCTAGTACCTGATCTATCGTATAAAATACCTCCTGCGGAAATAAATAAACCAGAAGAAACAAAACCGTGAGCTAATCCTAATAAAATACCACCTTGTATACCTTGTAAGACGTTACTAAATACTCCTGAAAGATATACCGCAGCATGTGATACAGAAGAATAAGCTATAAGTTCTTTAATATCAATAGTTCTTAAAGTACTAAGACTAGCATATATAATAGTTAAAATACCAATAAGGAATACAATATAAGTATAATATAAAAAAGCTTTAGGTACTAAAGGTAATATTAATCTAAAAATACCATATAAACTTAATTTTAAAACTATAGCTGCTAAAATTATACTTCCTGATAAAGGTGATTCTACATGTGCTTTCAATAATCAACTATTTAAATATATAGTGGGTGTTTTTACCGCAAAGGCTATAAATATACCAATAAACATAAATAATTGAGTTATATATATATAATTTGTTTTAGATAAAACATAAATATCTGTACAACCTATTAAAGATTGCATTTTTATGATAGACAATAACATAAATAAAGAACCTAAAAATGTATATAAAAAGAAATAAAAACTTGCCCTTATTTTTGCACTTGAACCATACATACCTATTAATATAAATAGAGGAGCAAGAATACTCTCAAAAAATATATAAAACATTAAAATATCTAAAACTAAAAATATAGTTAGCAATAATGTTTCTAATAACAATATAATTATTAAAAAATATTTGATTTTTTCATCGATAGATTTTCAGTTGGATATTATTGATATTGGCATAATTAATGTGGTTAATAAGATAAAATATAAAGATAAACCATCTATACCTAAATAAAAATCATAATAACCTATTATATAATGCTCCTGAACCATTTGGAAATGTTTGCTACTATTGTCATGTAATAATCATACTACTAAAGAAATTAATAAATTTATTATTGTGGTCGTTAAAGCTATTATTTTTAATCTTTTTGTATAGAATTTTATATCATAACTACTGTAAATAAATATAAAAAATATACCTATCATGGGAATTGCAATTAAACCTAATAATAACAAGAAAATTACTCTATATATATAAGAAAAAATGTGAATTTATATAAATTTATATGTTTTATATTTTAGTAAATGTAAATTGATATAAATGGCTTATAAATATATTTAAACAAAAGTACTCGGATTTGAACCAAGAACACGAAGTTTGAAGCTTCTTATTTTACCATTAAACTACACTCTTACATTAATAATATCGAACTGAAAATCTATCGATGAAAAAATCAAATATTTTTTAATAATTATATTTATTAGTAACGGAAAAGAGTTGAATCGAACAACTAGGTACAAAAGCACAATATTTAGCAAATATCTTACCCTACCAATGGCAACTTTTCCATTTAATTCGAGCTAGGCCGGTGTCGATCCGGCATCATTTTCCTCGACAAGGAAACACTTTACCAATTAAGATTACTAACTCATTTTTTTCCCACTAAATTCATTATACACTCATACGGATAGTAGGACTTGAACCCACAAAAATCATTTGGAAGACGATTGTTTTACCAATTAAACTAAACCCGCTGTATTATTTATCTGTTAAAGTAATCGGAGTATTAGGGTTTGAACCTAACAAGTCCTCAACCCAAATGAGACGCCTAACCAACCTGGCTCTACTCCGTTTTTTACCAGAAGAAGAATTTGAATCTTCATCATTAATGCATGAAATTAATGTTCTAACCATTTAAACTACCCTGGTTAGATATCTCCTATATACGACTTGAACATATATCGTATTATTAGAAATAATACGCTTTACCCTTAAGCTAATAAGATAGGAGACAAGAGATTTGAACTCTTAAAAGCAAAAAACTATTGAGTTTACAGCTCAACCCTTCTTACCAATAAAGGAACTCTCCTTAAGACCTAATGGACTTGAACCATTATTAATACGATTAAAAGTCGTATGTTTTACCAATTAAACTAAAGTCTCTAGTATTTTTGCTTAACTGTTATTACAATAGATCCAACCATAGATAATAATAAAATTATAGATGTTATTATTAATCACATTGATAAATTAGTATACATAACATTACCTATGTTAATTATATCATAAGTATCTATTAAATTACTATCCCAATTATTAAATGATACGATAGATATTATTTTATCTTTATTTAAAATATCTAAATTATATGCAATCTTTGTATCTGGTAATATTTTGTTATATGGTATAAAAAACCCTAAAATTGTTAATATAGCTAAAGGTATATTATTATTTGTATCACTAATAAGTTCTGATACTCTTATATTTATTAACATTAAAATAAATAAAAATAAAATAGATACTGCTCCTACATATACTAAAAGATAAGATAATCCTATAAATTTTGCACCTAAAAATATAAGATAACATGATATACTAGAAAATAATACAATAAGATGTAGTACGGATACAATAGGATTTTTACTTATAATTATAAAAACACCAGATAATAAAGATATTATTATTAAAATGTTTAAAAATTCTGGACTAAATCCATTAAACAGAGTAGGAAAAAAAAATATATTTAACATAAAATGAATAATTATTCTTTTATTCTAAACTAAAAGAATAAACATAATAGATTATTAATTGTATAATATTGATATTGGCATAAATAAAGTAGTTAATAATATGAAGATACAGAGATAAGCAATTTATATTAAATATTAGTAAAGCCACAGATAAATTCTTATTTTAATCTACATAATCATCAGCAGGGTTATAATAAGAATCCACTACGGAACATACCTTTATAAAGGTATGTTCCGTATAAAGGCACGTTTCGTATAGAGCATGTTACGTATAACGGTAGTCTTTTACTGGAATTGAACCAGAAGTCTATTCCAATAAAGACTTATAGACATTGTCTATCATATAGAAAAAGATATCTTTTTCTATATGCCTAATTATCTTTATAGGATAATTAAGAAAAAAAATAATAATTTTAAGGCTAATATATCCCGTGCAATTTCCATTACACGAACCGTATTTCGACTTAACACCAATTAAAGTCACGCATACGAAAACTACATATCAAAAAGAATACAACTAATTAAGTAAAAATAATAAAGATATGCAGTCAAACTTATTGCGCATACATCTTTCAGCGCCTGACGAGTAGTTAGTACCCAACTGAGATTAAATTCACCGTGACGTGGTGATTCACGATTACTAGTAATTCCTTATTCATGTAGTCGAGTTACAGACTACAATTCATGAATAGTTATATCCAATTTTATGGGATTAGCTCCATTTTTCAATATTGCATCCCTTTGTATAGGTATATGTGGCACGTCTATAGCCCACGTTATTAAGGCCATGATGACTTGTCTTAGTCCCTTTTATGAATTCCAATATACCGGTTAACAACTTTAGAAAGAAATATAACTAAAGTAAGGGCTTTCGTTAATTAAAGGAATTAACCAAAATCTCACGACATTAACTGAAGACAGCCGTGCAGCACTTGTATTAATTTGCATTAGTATTCAAAACGTGGTAAGGTTATTCGCGGATCATCGAATTAAATAACATACTTCACTACTGGTTTCAGAAACGGTCTAATGATTTCAATTTGGGCGTTGCCGCTTTAGTCTTAAGGTGGAATGCTTACACTTTCATTTATAAACTAAAAAATTCTAGCTTATGGCACTCATCATTGTCTCCTTGGACTACTAGGGTTTCGAATCCTAATCGCTACCCAAGGCTTCGTCCCTCAACGTCAGTTATTACATAGAATAGTACATTTGCCGTTACCCGTCCTACCAGGATTAGAGGATTCCGACCCTGCTCTGATAATTCGCTATTCACACATAAAACTCTAGAAAATTAGTACCTTTGCAGGCTTGATTTTCTGTCTAGGTACCCTTTAAACCGATTAAATATGAATAACACTCGTCTTCTACGTATTACCGCGACTGCTGGCACGTAATTTGGTCAAGACTCATAGATAAAAAATCGTCATACTCTGTATTTTATCTAGAACTATATGAAGATTTACCTCTATACATTCTTCCAAATTGCTGGTTCAGCCATTTGACTATTGACCAATATCCCCCACTGCTGTACAATTCTGCCCTGGGCTTTTTTCAGACCCAGTGTGATCGATCGACCTTTCAGTCACGACTGCCGCAATCTGAGCTAAATTTTATTACTCTTACGGATTATTTATTAACATCTTCAAGCGAATTTTTATCTTTTATATTGTAACCTT